GTTTGGAGAATAATATGTAATAATATTGTGTCGTGAAAATATGTTAGTTTATCATGTTTTAAGAGCTCCCTCAAAAAATCAGCTCAAAAAGTTTTTTTAGAGGTCCCAAGATTTTTAAAAATTTCCAAAATCGTCAAAAATTGAATTTTTTATCTTTTGTTGTTCAAATTCAATAAAAAATAAATTATTAGTTCGTTGATATTTATTTTTTAGAGATCGCTCGAAAACATAGATACACTACTTTGAAAATTAAAATAATTATGAGTGACCTTTAGAAATTAAAATATCGATTTGAAACTTTCAGAATCGAGATTTTTTTCAACCTAGAAAATGATAAAAAAACGGGAAAAAAATTAAACACAAAAAAATTAAATTTGACGATTTTGGACATTTTTAAAAATCTTGAACGACCTCTAAAAAATTTTTTCTTTGACCTGACGTTTTGAGGGGGCTCTTAAAACATGATAAACTAATATATTTTCACAGGAGACACGAAAAAAAAATAATCGTTTTTTTTGTGGCCCACCCTAAATTGTATAGGCATAACATATTATATTATATATTATTATTGTATCTATCAGGGAAATATTATTAAAATTTTAAGTTATTATTAACAAGATGTGTAATGGAATTCCCCTAGCAGGTAAGACCGTCAAGAAATTGTTCTTATCTAATTCCAATATAATGATTCCCACTGCAAAAAATGACTGAGCAAGATACCGTTGGACTGGAATATAATTACTGGTAAATAATATAGGTACATATAATTTCATAAGGGTGCATAAGGGTGAAAAATTTGAAAAAGTCAATTGAAGAACCATACATTCAAGGTATGCACCAGGCTCGGTCCCTACGCAGCAACTCGGCATTGAAATATTTGAAAAACTTGTTCCCATATTTATTTAGCCATACCCATACAGAGGTCTGGTGGGACTAAACGTGCAGCTGGTAGAAATGTATACGCCCAGTTGAAGAATGCGCGTGCGGGCAAATAATGTCCCATACAGTTGCTTTGGTCAACTGCGTCGTGAATTTCAGTTCTAGACAAGTAGCTTGGCAGTGCAGTGCGGGAATGCGGAATTTGGTGTGATTCAGATAATTTTAATTTACTATAGGTACCTTCTATCAATCATTCATATGACAATTGCGAAAGGGAGAAATAAGAGGGATATTTTGTTTATTAATATTATCACAACATGGCATTTTGGAGACCTTTTGAAACGGAACAAAATGAAATTTACCATCAATATAATAAAATTGTTTGAGGACATAAATAATTAAAATATGTTGTTGGTCAAATGAACATATAATAAAAATTTTCTACACATTATATACAAATTATTATAATTTTCTACCTTTAGCAGAAAACTTTTTTAGGGACGCCCATGAAACTCATTCAATTTGATTGCTTGTTTTTTTATGCATGTTCAACTGACTTCGGAAAAACTATACTCTATTGTGTGTTAAAATTTCAGTTAGTTTCGTTATCCCATTAAGTTATTGAAAATGTTGAAAAAATCACGGTTTTCTGCCTATAAAATTGATACCTCTCACTTTAACTCGCCGTAAGTTTCTTTGTTAATTGATAAAAAAAATTCAAATTTTTACTGACGATAAGTCGCACTATAGTCTTTAGTACTGTGAAGGTCATTTGTCTCAAAAGATTTTTTTTTTATTTTTAAGCAAAACAGAAGGGGGTGCTATGTCCATAAATATTGCATTCTTTAAAAAAAGAAAAATACTGACTCGAGTAGTAAATAATTGTAAACAACAATCTGAAAAAATTTGTTAAAATAATACAGTTATAAAGGCTATACTATATACTCTGCATCGGACCGTGACCGTAATTGACCATTCCGATACTGTTTTTAAGAATATCATATTTATAACTGTATTATTTTAACATATTTTTTCAAATTGTTGTTTACAGTTATTTGCTACCTGTCAGTTTTTTTTTTTTTTAAAGAATGCCATATTTACGGAGATAGCACTCCCTTATGTTTCACTTAAAAAAAAAAAAAGAAGACCTTTTGAGACAAATGACCTTTACAGTATTAAAGACAATAGTTCGACTTATCGTTAGTAAAAATTGGATTTTTTTTATCAGTTAACAAAAAAATTACGACGAGTTAAAGTGAGAGGTACCAATAATTTTATATGCAGAAAACCGTGATTTTTTCAACATTTTCATTAATAACTAACAAATGGGATAACGAAACCAACTGAAATTTTAGCACACAATAGAGTAATAGTGAGGCTATATATGGTCCAAATTTCAAATTTTTTGCCCCAACGTTTTCTTAATATCGGTTTCCAAACTCAGAGGTTTATTTCATTTATTTCGATAGTAAGTGACTAAAAATAAGCAAAAGTTGATTGTCAAGACAATATGAAATTAAAATCGTGTTAGTTATATTTATATTCAAGAATGTATAATTTTTTTGGTCGTAACTTTTTTCATTAAATATCCAGTGGTTTCCTTCTTACCGGTAAGTAGCTTGAAGATTTGTAGATTTGTAGATTGAAGAAGAAATCTATCTGAGCCAGGCTAATTTTTAAGCTGTAAATTTATTTAAACATAAATAACGATTTTATGTGGGACACCCTGTACGTAAAATTTAATCTGTATTCTTAATAAAGAAAAATTAGTACATATTATTGGTTTTTTATGCGTTATATTTTCGTACTATTTAAGCTTTACAAAATCATTACTTAGTACTTAGTACTACTTAGTACTACTAGGTATATCAAAGATAATATTAGACCATTATGCTTTATTTTAGGACGCATTTATAATAAACCAACTCTGTGTTTTCACTTTCATTTTCAAGGGTAGCGACACCTGTGAGAGAGTGTACAAACTAATTATATCGAGAGAAATTAGAAATATCTTGTGAATAGGTAGGAAACTCGACAATTCTGGTTTAGATACATAATAAAAATGGAGTCGTGTGTAAAATGTTGTCATTTTACTTGAGGACACAAATTATAGAATTATTAATAAATATTAATCTGAAAATTAAATACAAATGATCCTAGGTGTCCGTTCTAGTGAGTGAAGTAGTTTGGTTATTGTGCCTGACCTAGTTCCGTCGTAAATGCAATATATTGACAGACTAACAGTATGGTTAAAATTGAGGTACTTTGGCATTTATTTAAATTATTCTTCTGTTCTCATGAGCATTGAAATTTATCTCACTCACTAGCGGGAACCATTGCGAATACATTGATATATAATAATATTCAATTATGTTAGTTTCTTCGATGATTTGTGTCCTCATCTGAAGCTCTGTTACACGGTAAAAATATACATACTAAATCGCCCCCTTAAACAATTCATTAGGTACATTATCTCAATAAAACTCAAAAAAAATTTCTTGAATAGCTAAAATGGGTACATGTAAAATTTATAGAATTTTATTAAGACAATGTAATGAATTGCTTAAATCCGTTTTTAAAGAAATAAAGAGCATTTTTTTTGTAGAGGAAATGAAGGTATATGTTGGCATCTGAATTTGAAAATTTCAACAAGCAAAAAAATGGGGGCAAATTTTAACCGACGACCCCCCCCCCATTTGAGATGCCCCTGATTAGATTTTGAAAAATTTTACGAGTTTTATTTCGATTTTTTAAGCGTTCATGGTGTCAAAATTCATAATTTTCTTTAAACCAGTTTCGAAAATATTTAAAAGAATTATTTTTTTGAGGCCCTATAGCTCCCTTAAGAAGCGTTTCTCGACCCATGTTTATATGAAAAATATTCTTATTTTTAGCAATAGAATCAAGAAGTGGTAAATTATTGGACTTTAATTAAGACATCCAGTATATTATAAATTTAGCTGATATCAAATTCATTTGTAATTTCATATAGACAGGCTGTGATTATTTAAAAAGAAAACCAATTTTTCCGATATTGGAACAGGGTTGCTGACCAAATTTCAAAAAGTAGATAATATAATTCTACACGTACTAACTAGTGTGTATACACAATTAGAGATTGAGAAATGCGTCAGAACAGTTTTAAAATAATAATTTAAAACTGATTTTTTTATAACATTTCAAAACGGCTGTGACGTCATAAGGGGCACCTTGTAGTGAAATTATGTGTAAATGATTGCGTAAAGGAAAAAAATTGGAAGAAGACGCTCTGTAAACACTGTCGGTAGTGTCAGTCTGTCAGTGACACTGTCGTATAAAATGTTTTCAAGTCTACGAGTTATTTTCCTTAATCTTCAAATTCCTTTAAGTAAAATTATTATTTAGTAATCATCATTTATTAGCTTCCCTTATAATTAAAGCAGAATGTGTGAATCGGGATTTGTGAAAGCTACTTTGGAAATTTTACTAAAAATTGATATTTTTATGATCATAAATTGAATTTTGAATTGAAAAGAGACGAGCGTTTTAATATTGGCGAAATCAGAGGTATAAAAGCAGTCAGGTAAGGATCAACATATTTAATGAATGATCTTATTGTGTTTATATAAAATACCCATTTATTTATGGAAATTTATAGTGCAGTTCAGGAGTCTTACGGATATAATGCAATTGGCTATGTGGAATGTGGAACAAAACACCACTTAAATTTTGTTGAATCCATTACAATCAGGAAATTAATAATAACTATCACAAATATTCTTAATTGATAGACTGCTGTCACTAGTGTCACTTTTGTTTAAAAAACAGGAAACAGGCAGCAGGGTTTGATGGACAATTTTGACATATTTTCTCCTTCAAAATTATGCAATAGGATCGCTACTAGCTTCTTGATCAATTGCCCCTTATGACGTCAGACTAGTTTTTAAGTAACGCAAAAATTCATAAATGATTTCTACCACTAATTTGTTATATATTTAAAATTTGACTATACAGACAAGTTTTTTTATATAAAATCTTTGACTCGACAACAATTTGTATATGGTTTGTTTTTATAGTGGACAACCCTATTCCTACTAACTGTACTCAACAAGCACAAGTTTATAAAAGATTACATTACTTACTGGCCTTCTTTAAAATATTCTTTTAAAGTATTGCTAAACCTTTTAGAATATTTAACAAATTCTCTTTTTCTTTGTTCTAATGACTGCTTTCCGGTTGAACCTGGAATGAAACCGTTTACCTCATTCACGGCATCCAGCAATTTCTTTATGGCACTAGCTATTTCTCTAAAAAATAATGAACATTAAAATACACTTATTTAAATTACTATTGCATTATTGCATCATCATTATTTACTTGATAGTCTCCAAAAATGTCTTCCTATCAGTTATTTCATCTGGTATTCGACTTAGAATTCTTTTCAAGGCTGCAGACTTTTTATTTAGCTCTTGAAATGCATCTTCTGAGCGATTTAATCGATATTCAACTACTAAAATAAAAAATTATTAAAGTCTTAAAATTGTATGTGGAATATATACCATCTGTATCAGAAACTGCTCCTTGCAGACGAAGTATACTTTCATTCATGTTGACAGCAAGATCTCCTCTTCGTAAAATACCAACAACAAGGTCATATGTAAGACCTGGATAACTTGCTTCAGCTTTAGTAAGAGCAGACCGTAAAGTTTGAGAAGCCAAAACATCTTGCTTCTCTAACTAAAATAATGTAATAGCTAAGTCATAGATTAAAAAAAAATAAAATTCGATACCTCTGACAAAATAGGGCGTATTAAAATTGGAAGAATTAATGTAGTCACTGGTGTTTCATCGCCCATTGTCATATTTCTAGAATTAAATAGTTGAGATAGGAAATTAGATAAGTAATAAAATTTTCAAGAAAATTAAAAATATATTTCACAACAAACGAAAAAGTCAAATGTCAATACTGACTTAACGAATACAATACACAAATGATTTTTACACTTTTGACAGGGAATGAATATACTGTTCAGTGTTCACTATTTTTCCACTTCTTCTCTCCCTGGGATACAATCCTTTGTCTTTTTAAAGATGGAAATAGAGAGATATTGGATTGGAGTGACAACTTGCATTAGTGCATGCGGTATTTAGACATCTAAGCATGGAGACTAGAGCTGTAAGAAATCGTTACTATTCGTTATTCGAGTACTCGTTACTAGACACAATCCGAAGTAACAATTACTAAAAAAATTACGTTATCGTGACTTCACTACTCGAGTACTCGATTTTTGAAAGAGATGTTGTAGGAGTAGGTGTAGATCCGAATACCGAACCGCTATCGCCGAATCCACTGGTAAAAACGAAACTCGCGCCATTATTCTATGGCTAGAAATTGGCCTCAATGATTTGGGATCGAGGGGGATTATCCCTCTTTATCCTGCCTCATCTCGTGTAGGCNTTTACCTAACGTCAACATGTTTCGCATATGATTTGGGATAGACCGGAAATTTTCAAAGTGAACTATCGATTATTCATTCGAATGATCATTCGATTATAAAATTAATTCGAACGGTAACCTTTCGATTATTTAATTCATTCGATTATTCCCATCACTAGATACAATCCTTTGTCTTTTTAAAGATGGAAATAGAGAGATATTGGATTGGAGTGACAACTTGCATTAGTGCATGCGGTATTTAGACATCTAAGCATGGAGACTAGAGCTGTAAGAAATCGTTACTATTCGTTATTCGAGTAGTCGTTACTAGACACGATCCGAAGTAACGATTACTAAAAAAATTACGTTATCGTGACTTCACTACTCGAGTACTCGATTTTTGAAAGAGATGTAGTAGGAGTAGGTGTAGATCCGAATACCGAACCGCTATCGCCGAATCCACTGGTAAAAACGAA